ATATACGTGCTATCATGGGAAACGCCATAACTTTCTCGAAAATCAACCAAATTAAGAATTTTTTTTTTTGTTCGATTCCTCATAATGAGCAAGAACAGCCAACCAGGACAAGCAAAGAGCAATTTCATTCTTTCAATAACAAAAAAAATGAAAGCCAACTAATCGAACTAACAAGATCCTTTCCTAGTTGTCTGGAAAATGATTGTCAACCGATATTGCACGCATTTATCTTGATTTATATTTGTCACCGATTCACGTAAAGATTGCCCGGCCTTACGATAGGAATGCGATACTGAGTATAAGTACCGTACACGAGATCATAAGCAGTGCATTGTTCAATTCCTCATAATGAGCAGAATCAAGTGGGGCATAAATTATACTAGAAGAACCTGTTCTTGTTCTCACAGCTGGAATCAGAGAACCAAGGCAGATATCAGATGCTGTTCAAGACAGAAAGTTTTCAATAGTAACAGGTGAACATGATCTTTGAAAGAATCATTCTATACACTATAACCTTATGAATACACAGAGCCCACTGATATTGAAATATAAAAATAACAATAGAATAACGACATTACTATTGACATTCATCATTGATTACAGAAAACACTTTTGAAGTTAGGTATTTCTGCTGGAAACGTTTTCCTTCTGTAGTGAAGAATCAAACACCACTTCGTAGTGGAACTCTCAGTGCTCAAGTCAGGTTTCAAATACTCTTCAAAGAACCAGGAATAGTTCTGTAGGGTCCTTCCTCTGGCTTCATCGACAGCATCTTTCCATTCTTTTAGATATTTGTTAGAGTATGCTCGAAAGATTTCAGATCTTTTGCCGTCGCTTTCGTCGTCAGAATCAGATTCTTCGATGCCTTCCTGCTCATCTCGAAAAGGATGGAAGCTTTGTCGTATCGTCACTTTCTCATAAAACATTTTTAACTGAAAAAAACAATAATAGAGAATTGAAACGAGCTAACATAAGTTACCACGTAGTAAGCACGATCACGGTTTATGCCTCTCATCAAGAACTTTGCTTTGTTTATATTTACAAGAGTGCTACATAGGATCAACAGAAACTCCGGCTCAATCAACTCATTGACATGGAAGGCTCTCAGATTCGGAAGATTCAGGAAGAGCTGAATTAAGTTATTTGAACGTTTTGTTCATTACTATATGTACCCTATAGAGATCTTCATACTTGATTGCTCCTGATGTATCTTCTGAGTGATCCAAAAGTAGTCCATCAGAAGTTGTTGGCTTGTATACGAACTCTTCCATATATTGGCAGTTCTGAACAAGTACAATAAGGACAAAACAAGATAAAAAAACCTTTTCTATGAAATCCAAGTCTGCTCGGAAGAGGGAGCAATCTTCCACTTCCAACTTTTTCAGAGAGCTAGGACATATACTTAACAAAGGAAGAGTGGTATCCCCTCTTGACTCCCAACATCTGAAGTGATTTCACTGTTCTCCGAGCAATGCGTAGTATTACCTTAGCCTCAACGATTGGAGACGGGGATATCTCTGACTCTGTCGGATAATCCTAATAAGATCACAATTATATACACATTCAGCAAGCCACAGACTGTCCAAAGAGAAAAGACTGAACTCTTAAAACATTATAATAAAGAGAATCGAGCTGGCAATTATTACTTATGAAAAGGTTAATTACTTCAGATTGGGAAAGATGGAGCAAAGTTACATTCAAATGAGCAAGCTGAAAAGGGTTTAAACTTCGATTGATGAAAACGTTCAACTCACATTAGAAACATTGGTGAGGGAATCCATCATGGCCTCATGGAAAGTAACTGGATCAGTAAACTGGAGCTTTTCACAACAGTCGGAGAAACTTGCCAAGTTAAGATGTTCATCTCCTGACGACGCTAAATGCCTTGAAAGCTAGAAAAATCATTCTCGCCATATGATCGGAACAAGTTACTTTATGGATATGACATCTATCTTAGAGCGGCTCTCCAACTCATTGATCAAACGGTCAACTGGCCACTTGCGTTGAACCCAACAGGTGATATGATTGAGCGAAACAAATTTTTTCTGGAAAATGTTTTGAATAAACAATGATAACATCTAAGGAACTCACAAAAATAGAAAAACTCGGGCTATCCGGCATGTGGAAATCGATGAAGCCAAACCTTTCAATTCTAGCAGCCAAGGCACTATTGTTAACTGAAGAGCAAATGAGGACAATGGGTTAAGCAACTTACGAAAGCTTAAGCCATCAGCTGTGAAGCCACGACAAGTTATATCTTTGACACATGGGAAATAACGATTGATGGCAGTTAGTAGCTCCTCATTCAGACACTCCTGGACAACTAAGCTGGTAACTTCAGGCCAAAAACGTCGACCTAGCAGTTTCAAAACTTCCACTTAAAAAGAAGGAAAGAGTTGATCAACCTGGTTACAAGCTTACCTGAATTCTTGTTCTGCCTTCGGAACGTCAAGTTAGTTATCTTCGAGTAAGTAGATCCATTGAACTTTTCAAGGAATATGAGTTTATCTTTTTTCTTGTCATTGTAATAACAAATGGTCAAACGAAGAGATGTCTTCATGCGGCATGGAACTTCGCATGATAGTCTATACAACCGTAGTGATGCCAGCTCTACTGATTGGCGGTCCTGTTTCATTGCATTAAGAACTTAACGATAAGACAACTCTACCTTATAGGACGGAATATGCTTCAGCACTTCCCTTATAACTACATCATTATGATAAATTCCTCCTGTTAGTAACGACTGTGTCGTTAACATCTTCCTAAAACATAATTTGATTAAGACCTTTCAGAAGCATATCCTCAATTCAAAACAAATTCAAAGATTCAGGATAGAATATGTTTTTGTAACTTTTCGTCATAAACATACCAATTAGACTACTATCAGTGTTAATCAATAATTGCGGTAATTGACTCGGTTGTGACCTGGCACTACAGCATAGATCATATATATTCATTTGTATTTTGTATTTCTCTGCAAATCAATAGATATTAGATATTCTCAGTTCTACATTGATGAACAACCGCACAGTGCATACGCAATGAGATAAATGACAACAATCACGTCAAGTTTTATTGTCATTAGCATGAGAGTTACATTGATCTCAGACTAATCAATAACACATGATGAAATCATTGTTTGGAGCTCATAACACAGTGCGATCACTTGATCAACTCCAAGATTATATCCATGTTCAGCTCTTTCTCATATACAAATAACCGAATAAGTCGTCTAGATATGATTTAAGTTCACGCTCAGTCTGATTATACACATTAATCCTTGATTCCTATAGACAGATTATACGAGACAAAGCAATCTGTGATTAGTAGAGAACCTCTCGTGTGCTCGTTCACAACGAACATTGAAATATTCTCATTTCCAATTCTCATGTGAGCACCATTTCTTGGATAACTGAATAATCTCATTACGAGGTTCAACCTCTGCTATATTCAACTGAAAAGGACATGTGAGACGAGAAGTCTGAAATGCGTACCATCAAGTCATCCAATTGCGACAGTAGAGAAGCTATAGCTCCTGTCCCAGAGCCCAGAATCAAAAAGTTTTGGC